GCGACCTCCCGGCCCTGTTGCTCGGGCGCCCCCCGCGCGCGTGAGGCCGGGGCTGGGGCTCCCCGCGGCTTCGCGGGGCGAGGAGGAAGCCGGGCCGCGCACAGCCCCCGCCGTCCCGGGGTCGTGGGGCCGGGCTCCGGGTGTTGCATGCGGGGCGGGGCGGCCGTGAGCCGGAGGCGAAGATGGAAGGCTTGACGCTGAGCGATGCGGAGCAGAAATACTACTCGGATCTCTTCTCCTACTGCGACATCGAGAGCACCAAGAAGGTGGCGGCCAACGGGCGGGTGCTGGAGCTATTCCGGGCCGCGCAGCTGCCCAACGACGTGGTCCTCCAGGTAACGCCGCCGCCCTCGCCTCTGGTCGCGTCCGGGGCTCTGCCGGCCGCCGACCGGTCGCTTCCCGGCGGCTCCGGCCTCCAGCCGCCCGCCGCCAAGGGGGTGGGAGTGGGCGCCGTTTCCAGCAGCGCCGGCCGTGGGCTTGTGCCCCCGGACTCCCCAGCTGCAGGCTGGGGCCGCAGGTGCCCGGGTGGCCCGGACTCGCGGCGCGGTCGAGGGGGAGGGGTCGCTGTTAGAGGACAAAAGTCACGCAGAGATACGGTGGGGGGCGGGGGGCGGAGGTCTGTGTATTCTCGCTCAAGAACCTAAGTCCAGTATTTCTCGGCTGCCTCTCAAAATCTGTATTTTTCACAACTGGAAGAGCAACTTCAGTTGAAGGGTATCGGATTGTTACCATGCCTTTCTTTGAATCGTAGATCCTGATATATAACATAGCTCTCCGGATCCTGCAGAGTAGTAAAGTTATCAGTATAGGTAAAATGTTTTTTAAATTCTTGAATAAGCCAGCGGGCGAGACAAAGTGGGTTTTGTAGGAATCGAAGAATCCTTTTTCTTAAGGAAGCTGAATTCTTGGGGAGATCAAAAATTTGAATTTATAGCTAGTAGTTTGCAAGTAGATATGGAAAGAACTTGTAATTATAGAACGTGTGGCTGATGTAAACTGGACAGTTTTTTGATGCACATTCGGTAACATTTAGTGGAACTTAGGGATTGGGGTTGGGAGATAAGTATTGAGCAGCTGGAAGTCAGACGTGCCTGTTTGCCTCAATCAGATCCGCAGCTCTAGAGGAGCAAGCAGAGTACATTTTAAGCTTTCTCTATCACATCTGTTTTTAAAATGGAAGGTTTCCTAGAAGTTCTTATCTAATTTATGTGGTGAACATTATTGTTACTCTGTTTAATGATTCATCGCTGCTGGTAAGAGTCTGTCTAAACAGCATATCAGGAGCAGTTTTTAAGCTTTCATCTTTGTGATGATCCAAGCCAGGTTACCCACCTCTTCAAAACCTAAAGCCGTGTGCATGGGTGTAATGTAGTATACCCCAGAGGGCACTGAATCAGGAGGTTTGAGGCCTGGGTCTTTGACCCCATTTTATTGTGAACTGGCAGTGTGACTTTGGGCCAGGCACTTCCACTCTTCAAGTGTAAGCGTTGCTCATCTGAAGAATGAGAGTCCGGTTTCTTCCAACAGTTCTGGAGGCATAAAAATGTCCATAAAGGTCTCTGTTTTCGAAGTTAACCTGTGCATGAACTATGACCAAGTTGAAGTTCTGTCCTTTTGCATAATTTTGTGTGTGTCATAATGCTTTTTAAAAAACCTTAGGAGGAAAAGTTGGGTGTCTTAGATAACGACAGCTGGGAGTCTCAAAGCCATGCTGCCATAAAGGGACAAAACGTAAATATTTTAGGCTTTGCTGGCTACTTATGGTCGAACATTCTTCTTTGTTTTTGTTTTTGCTACTCTTTAAGAAGGTGAAAGCCATTCTTAGCTCAGGAGCATACCAAACAGGGCCTGTAGTTTGCCAACCCTTGCTAAAAAGAATGGTGGTGGCAGTGTGGGGTTCTCTACTTCCTCCGATGGCTTTGGGGTTAGACTTTTAGCCAGAATGTGCTCATTAATGATATTCCTTTTTTTGTAGCAATAACAAAACATACTTTCAAGTCATTTAGGAACTAAAATTAATGAGAAACTTCCCAAGTTCTGTTTCAGTTTATGTTTTTGGGGAGGGGGAGCCGAAATAAACTGACATATATATACACACACACACACACACACACACACACACATATATATGTGTGTGTGTGTGTATATATATATTTAATTATATATATATTTAATTATATATATATTTTTTAACTTTTAAAATGTTTTTATTTATTTTCGAGAGAGACAGAGTGTGAGTACGGGAGGGACAGAGAGAGAGAGAGGCAGACACAGGATCTGAAGCAGGCTCGTGGGGTTCGAACCCAGAAACCGTGAGATCATGACCTGAGCTGAAGTCGGACGCTTAACCGACTGAGCCACCCAGGTGCCCCTAAACTGACTTATATTTTTAATAGTGCATGAAGACTTTAGGACTTTTAATGTATTATTTAGTAGTATTTAGGATAGACAAATCAGCATTACCCTTTGCTTGAAATATGTTTAATCCAAGTTATTTTTGTGTTTTTCTCAGGTTTATTAATATTCAAAAAGAAATTTCTATTGCCTTTTTTGTATAAAGAGAGGGCATAAATACCATAAATATTCAGGATTCAGTTACAAGTCGGAAGCTGCAGAAACTTGCTGAAGCAGAACTCTTACAGTAATACATACTAAATAGTATTATGGATATCTTGAAGGCAGTTTACTTAAAAATCAGCCTAAAGTGTAAAATGTGAGCTAAAAGGGGAATTGGATTCAGTTCTTTTAAGAGAGTTTGGGATTGTCTGAAGACAGTCCTTTGTTGCTTTCTAAGTGGGATACATTTGGGTCAGCTCCTGTATATTGAGTGAGTTACTTAACTGGACTAGGTGTTGCAGGCCATCAGGAGAGGAGTAAGAAGCTCTCAAGGACCTTGTAAATTACAGGGATACCCGTGTGTAACATGAAGCACCCATGTGAATGCCATAGGAGAGGTGCAAAAGAGGTTATGGTCAGGAAAGCCTTCTTGACTTGAGATGGACATTAAATTAGTATGGAGGGAGAGCAGTGGGTCGGATAAGACTTTCAGACAGAGAAAAAAACAAGACCGAAGTTGGAAAGGGGAGGAGCCTTTTCAAGAACTAGCAGATTTAAGGTTTGCTGAAGCTGCAGTATATTTGGGGGATAATGGAACATAGAGTTAGAAAGAGACCATACTGAGAAAGACCCTAAAGAAGGCAGAAGATTTCATATTTCAGTAAGCAGTGGAGACTCATTAATGGTTTTTGACCTTGGGTGGGGGGTGAGGAGGAGGCTTTGCAGTGGTCTGGAATGGATCCTGGGTGATGGGCATTCCAACCAGGGTAACAGCTGTGCAATAGGAAACAGATCTGGATGAACAGGTCTGTTACTGAAGGGCTGCTGGCTAGACACTATGTGAGGTGCTTTGTTGGATAATGTTTAATTGAGGCCAAATTATCAAGGCTGGGTGGAGAGCTTTGAACTAATTGTGAAGGTAACAGGGAGTTGTAGTGTAAGAGAAATGACTCATAAAAGCCATGCTTTACAAGGCCTTTAGATCAGTGCAGCAGGAGTTAGACGGAAGAAGCTGGAGATGAATTTGGGAACACATTCTCTGTTGAGAATGGTGAGGAGCGAGGCCACGGTGCTCAAATGCAGGAGTGGGGGAGACACCGGGGAGGATGATTTTATCTCCCAGGGGCATTTGGCGCTGTTCGGAGACATTTTGGGTTGTCCTAACTTGTAAGGAAGGAGCAATTCTCCCGGCATCTAGCAGACAGAGGCCAGCGATGCCACTAAACATCCTACAGTGCATAGGCCAGCCCCCCAACAAAGATTTATCTAACCCCAAATGCCAGTCAGTGGTGCTGAGATCGAGACATCCTCACCTGGACTCTGGTGGTAACCGTGGAACAGCAAAGGAGGCTAGAACTTCATAGAAATTATGAAGGTAGATTTGATGGGCCTGGGTTACCTAGTGATATTTAGATGAGGGAAGGGTAGAGCAAGGATTATTCTTTGTTGGATTCTACTCACCGCCTAAAAAGGGGGCAGGAAGAGTCTGGTTTTAGGTAAAAGATACTGGCAATTTGACTTCTGGCATTTTGAGATGGCAATGGAAATCTTCAGGAGATATTTGGAAACTTATGGATGTTTGTCCCCACTGAGTGCTTGTTCTTACGGTGAAATTCAGATATTTGGGTTGTCTTCTCTGCTTTTCTCACCTAAGTATTTTGGGGGTGGGGGGCAGGCAACTTCTTACACTGTGGGCATGCATGTACACATCAGGGCTTTGATTGATGTAGTAGTTTTCAGCATTTGTTAATAAAAGCCATGAGAAGGCTGAGTCATCTGGGAGAATGAGTGTAGAAAACAAAGAACAGAGGGCCGAGAACTGAAGGGGGAAGGAGCTGGCATTTATTGAGTGCCTATTATGTTTCTTTTACTGGGCAAATCATTTTCATGTAAGAACTCATTTGATGCTTACAACAACCCTGTAAAGTGTATTATTTTTTATTTATTAACTAGGCACCTGATAGGCAGAGAAGTTAAATCATCTGTTCGTGAATAAAGCGTCTCTCCTTTACCGTTATTCCTTGTTACCTTTCAGATC